TCATGAACGTGAAACTGGTTCATGTTGCAAATAAATTAGGTGAACCAAAACATTTTTATGGTGAAACCGTTGCATTGATGGTGTAGTTGATCCATTTTGTTGATGAAAAGGAAAATAAAACCGGTGCATTTTGAAAATAAATTATGAAAAGGAAAATGAAACAGGTTTCATGAACGTGAAACCGGGTCTTGTTGCAAATAAATTATGTGAACCGAAACATTTTCATGATGAACCCGTTGCATTGATGGTGTAGTTGAGCCATTTTGTATTTCGCTCGTCATGAACGAAGTGCATGATGAAACAGGGAAATGATTTTAATCTGCTACATAATCTTGAAGATTGTAACCTGCTCCAGAATCTTCAAGATTGTAAGAACTAAAGGAATGATTCCATCAAATCGGTGGTGAAATAAGAAAATTACTGTACATGAAATAGTTTTCATGAAAGTGAAACTGGTTCATGGCAGTATTGAGCCTGATAAGTGAAATGGTTGCATAAGTGAAACAATTTCATGTTGTATTATAAACTTTTATGAAGTCAGTAATCGATGAAAATTTTTCGTTATCTAAGTGTAACAGATTCATCTATCAGTATAACGAAAATTACGAAATATGATCAATATTACGTGGATTAGTCTGTTGATTAAATTTTGAAACCAATTTCGTTCATATAATGTAATTCAAAATTTAAAACGATTCACTCCATATAATTGAATATGGTGTGTTATATTCATATTTTTTTTGATATGTTTTATTGATGGATGTGATTTAAAGTTAAAAATAATATATTGTTTTAAAAAATGAAAATAGTGTCATTAATATCGAGAAGGATGTTACCAAATGTTAAATTTKGTTTACCATTTTTGCCCTTACTGTTGAAATAAAATAAATTTTTAATATATATATTTTTTAATTTCCTAAAATAAAGTAAACTAATTTTGGTCATTGATCAAGAAAATGGATGGATTAGATTGGTTTACACGGTTTATACAAATGAGGTAGATTTTTATTTGAACGCTTCTCTCTCTCTCTCTCTCTCTCTCTATATATATATATATATATATATATTGCAAAATTTACAATCTAACCCTTGATCTTTATCTTATTTCCATTATAATCATACTTTGTCAATTCCTTTAAAATTTTGGCCTTAAGAGTGATTTATATAACAAACTTAGTCTAATGCACAATTCTTGGAGACTAAGGTACAAGGCACTAAAGCACGGTTTCGTACATTGAACTTAATTTGGTTTTCCGGTCACGAGATTGGATTTACTAAATACAAGGTATTATACCGAGGGACTATACAAAGAAGGCTTAGGCTTATTTGGAAGATACTAGAAGAGTACTCGCGCAATGCAGCAAGATACATCTCGATTTTAATGTTCTATTTTATTATTTGTCTATGTCGATGTTGGAAAGAAGCCTTGATCCCAATACTAGTTGCGTCTTTTTCGACTTCATTACAAGAGAAAGTCACTATCCTCAGTTGCCTTGTCTCTGCATTTAGCCCCCAACGATAGGCCCTATCTAAAGGCAGAAGCTCGGGTGGGGCATCAACCACTGGTTGCGGGCCTGTCGAGATGCTTCCTTACGATTTTATGTGTTTTTAAGAAAGCAATAATGATTTTATTATTGAATAAAATATAAATTTGAAGATATCATAATAAATTTGAAAAAAAAAATATCAATGTTAATATCAAATCAACTATTTAAAAGTTCTCATTTTTTATGTAATTTCTTTAATTTTTTAATATAATTTAATTTAAGTTTAATAACGAAATAATTTGTTTTTGGTTTAATAATATAATATTTTATAAGGATAATAATTAAGTATAAAACTCAATGATTATCCTAATTTTATTTTATATGATTCACATTTTGAATAGGCCCTTGGCCATGAACCTCCTTTGGATTTTTTATAAAATTGATGAGAATGTAAGAAATTTGATCCCAAAGAAAAAATTTTAAAAAAGGGTAGGGCCTTTCCCTCTGGGGGTAGGAAAATCATGATCGGGTTCAACTCTTTGACAACAAGAAAAACCAAAAGCTCTGCCCTCCATCTCTATCTATCCAAGTTTTTATATTTAAAATGAGATGTTTATCCTGTATTTGATTTTGTTTATGTGCAGTTAGTTACACGAATTCAGATATGTAGCTTTAATAAGTTGTACTAACACACAATCTATTTGCAATCTTGAGTTTTAAATAATATGTATTAATAAACAGTATTTTACACATAAAAAATGATTTTTAAGAGTTTTTGTCAAATGCTTTATAATATAGTATATATATAGATTATGTGTTTTTAAGAAAACAATAATGATTTTATTTTTGAATAAAATATAAATTTGAAGATATCATAAAAAAAAATATCAATGTTAATATTAAATCAACTATTTAAGTTCATTTTTTATGTAATTTCTTTAATTTATTTTTTTATTATAATTTAATTTAAGCTTAATAATGAAATAATTTATTTTTGGTTTAATAGTATAACATTTTATAAAGATAATAATTAAGTATTCTGTTAGAACTCAACGATTATCTTAATTATATTTTAGATTTTTTATATTTACAATGAGATGTTTATCTTGTATTTGATTATGTTTATCTGCAGTTAGTTACACGAATTCAGATATGGAGCTTTAATAAGTTGTATTTACGCACAATCTATTTGTAATCTTGAGTTTTAAGTAATATGCATTAATAAACAGTACTTTACGCATAAAAAGTGATTTTTAAGAGTTTTTATCAAATGCTTTATAATATAGTATAGATAACTCATTTAGATACAATTTAGTTTGTAACTAAAATATACTCACTTTTTTATCTCTCTCTAAAGTATTGTTGTACTTTTGTTCTAACCTTTAACTTTGTTCTTGACTTTTATTATCTAAGTATTTAAGTTGTGTTGGTTAATTTTTGTTCATTTCTTTTGCTTACAATTTCTTGTTACGTTTATTTTTTATGAAAATATGTGTTTTGGGGTTTTATGCAAATGTTTATGCAACCAAAAAAAAATGAAGACAATGAATATGATAACTTATTTACATGTGCATCTAGCCCAAAAATTGAAAGATGATGAATACACTAACTTAGACATATGTGCATACAACCAATAAGTTGAAAGAAGATAAATATAATGAATCATTCACATATGCATGAAACACAAAAATTGAAAGACGGTGAATATGATGATCATTCACATGTGTATGTAGCCTAGAAAATGAAGAATGTTGAATATGATGACTCATTCACATGTCCATGCAGCCCATAAATTGAAAGATAAGAATATGTTGACTCATAATGTAGCCCAAAAAATGAAGGATACATCAATTATGCAATTTTTTTTTATAGATTGTGGAATAACTTTTTGTAGATTGTTTAGAGGATAGATAAAGCTTTCATAAATTATACTAACTTTTCTTTTATTTAAGGATTTTAATAAATTCAAATGATTATCCATTAATGAAATGCATAATTTAATAAATTGTTGTTCTTAATAATTGTTAGATTAAATTAATCGATGGTTATTAGAGTGTTTCCTCAGTTTCCCCCTTTTTAGGGTTTTCCCTAGCCTATACACACATATACCCTTATATACATACATACATGAAAGAGCTATATAGAGATTGTGAAGTTGGGACCATCGATCCTAACCACATCCCTCCCTCTCACATGTAAGACGTCTTCATCTTCTTCCTCTGTGTAACTAACCACCATCTTCTTCCTCCCACCACGACCTCCCTTCCTACCCCCACAACACACACATCACACGTTGCAAAAAGAGAGACAAAGACAACATAAGAGAGAGATGAGGGAACGAGATAGGAGGGGAAGGGGAGGTGATATTCAGTGGCTGTGGAACATGAAGCAATATGAGAGGTCAAATCTCTAAAAAGAATGTGGAAGTGATCATTCTTTCAACTACTTTCAGAAGACCCATTTATTGGTTTGGTCCATATCAGTACCTCGTCGGAGAAAAAGGAATTCTATGTTGAAAAACCCATTTTGGAGCAGATGTGCATGTCATATTTTCACGTTTGGAGGACGAGCTTAGAGACGAAGGCCGATAAAGAGGAGGGGGAAGGGATGTGTCAAAGGCTTTGTATTATACACATATAATTTATATTATATAATAATTTTTGTATTTTTGTAACATGGACAAAACAAAGAAGGATAAAATACTAAAATACCGTCTTACTTAAATGAGATAAAAATCGATATTTTTTAAGACGAACTGACATTGAGAAGGAAAAAAATCATGAAAAAGATAATAAAATCAAAATGAAAAAAGAATTAACAAAAAGTTGTCTTGACATAGTGGTAGCAATGTCTATAATTATACTTGAGGTTGTGAGTTTGATCTTCCAATTATACTTTTGTCATTGATAATTTCTAAATAACATTTTACGACATGAGTTGATATTTTGGGCCGGCCTGACAGCTTAAAATTAAAAGAGAAGAAGTTAAAATAACCTATTCAAACCAACAGTCTCACCCATATTTAGTTTCTACTATAAATTTGGTTTCAAAGTATTTAAAGGCATCCCTCAAAATCAAACGGTACATTATTCAGACATCTAATTTTTTTTCTCGAATGCACAGATGCACACGAGCCCTCTCCAATTAAGGTCCTACCCTGACGGCTAGCTTTAGGGGGTGTTTAAGATTGCTTATAAAAACAACTTATTGACTTATTCCGGTGTGACACCGATATCCAAACACATTTGAGTGTTTGGATAAACAACTTATACCGACACCAAACCGCTAATAATTTTTTTTTGAAAAAATTAAACTCTTCTGACTTATAATAAGTTGATAAGTGTTTTTGTAGAAAAGCGATGAGTTGTTTCAAATAAACTGTCACAAACACCCCTTAATAAACGGATACCATAATTCCATATGTTTTTTTCCGAGGGTTCAAAATGCATATCATAATAAACGTTATTCGTAACAAAAACATCAAAACCGGGACCATATCCGTAGATTCACTTTACATGATTCTTTACAAAAATTTGTTTTTGATTCGGAGAAAAAGAATGGTACAGACCCGTTAAGCCGAACCAAACAGCGCCTTACCTGGTAAGAACAGAAACGGAGAATGATTCTCTTTTTTATTTGCTAACAATTTGGTTTTTGATATTGATTCTAGCTTTTTCGTCTTTGTAGAATTAGCATGTTTGCTTCAACAACCATGAACATCCTCAAAATTCATGCTTATCGTCTTCAACCCCCAATTTCTCACCTTTCCCATCCCACCTCCCCTGCAACATACCATAACTTCATGCTCTCCCATGTCTCATCAACTTCAATCCTTTCTTCCCGTCCCCGATATCCCATCTCTAAAACCAATGCTAGGGTTTCAGAAATTGGAGCCCCATTATGGATGCAGAAAGATGACCAAGAAGAAGACACTGGTTCTTCTGAGGACTTGACTATGAATGGAGAGGCTTATCAGAAGACTTTGAGGTTGGTGGAATGTGCAATGTTTGCCGCTCTTGGTGGGTTAGCCTACATCTTAAGCAGCTCTCTTGCTATTGAGGTACTAGCATTATGTCGAATACTTGGCAGGTGTTATCCAATGTCAATATTTGTGCATGTATGGATGCTGATCAACTTGAAGGGGGTGTTACTAGTAAATATACATTTACAGATAGTAGGAAGTAGGACCTCAGGATGGTTAGTGAATGTTCATATCTGCAAACTTGATTTATTACGATTTGTACAAGATTGTTTATATCTTGTTTTTAACATGTAAATATACGATTTACAGATAGTAGGAAGTAGGACCTCATGATAGTAGTGGATGTTTCTGAGATTAGGGATATTAACCTCCACCCCTTTCATCTACTAAAGTAAGATTAATCATGAAGCACCTATGCTACGATGGTAAAAGGAAATAGGAAAAAATTGCTTTGTAGTGAAGGAAAATGGATTAAGTGATGGCATCTAATGCTTCATTTCGGTCATGTCTTCTAGTATGTGAATCTTCATTTGATTATGGTACGGGTTACATCTTTTGATCTGTGGAGTGTTGGAGCCCTAGAGCCATGACAAAAAGGAAGTCTTAAATTTATTTATGTCCCATAGAAAAGCTTAGCACATTTTTAGCCGTCTACACACTAGTGTAGATGAGGCAAAGATGTTTTGGATAACAGTGAATGAGTGATCTGTCTCATTCTTAAGACGTATAATGTGATAGCTAAAAGATATTGTTAAAAGTAAGATGATGATGGTGTGTTTATTTTTTGTGTAAAACCATGATTTTTTGCAATATGAGGTACTTAAGGTAATATACAAAGATGGAACATGACGAGGAACCTGGAATTGATTTCTATGAAAATACTTTGGACTTCTATTTGAAGCTAAGTATCATACTCAAGCATGATCTTTTTGATCAATTTTATATTGAATGTGATATGGACCTTGCACCATAAAATCTCAATAGCTTGATTGTCTAACCCCAAGGGGTTCGGCTTCCGGTCAATCACCAGGGCATGGTGCCTTTGAGTGTTATGCATGCTGGTTGGAAGGCCTAAAGTTTTCACATTCATTTGGAGGGGTGCTTTGTGTGGACTGTGTTGAATTAGTTTGGCTAAAGGATAGCCCTGCTAAAAAAATAAAATAAAAAAGCTAGAACATCTATTCCATTGGAGGCTTCACCATTATCTTTCTCTTAGGTAAAATGTGAGTGGTAAGAAACGGGGATGTACAATAGCCCTGAAAAATGCAACTACTTGCCAAGAGGAAGAAAAGGTAAAATTTCAAGAGACACTAACGTCCTCTTCTGTTGAATGACATCTTCCATTATTTTCTCTTTGGTGCCTTCCCCATTTCTTTCTTTGTTCTTTCATGTTTGATACTTCCCCCATGAAAATTGCAACCTTTGACCTAACACATAGTTGTAGTGAAATGTTAGATATATATCAAATATATAAATTACACTTCACTAAAGGCAAAATAAAGAATCTTGTGGACCGAAATCAATCGTGATTTATAATAATGAGAGTAGGCAAATAGTTAAGTTTGACTTGGACTCTTTCCGAAATAGAAAATGTTGGTAGATATTCATGGGACACCGGATATATGAGTTTTGCAATTTTTATATCACATAGGGAGTATCAAGCTGGCCTGTTTGATGGTTTAACTAAGTTAATTTAATACGGCCAAAAGGCCATTCGGGTAAAGAATTTCAAAAGGTCAAAACATTGCTGAACTATCGTGTTTCTGCTTTAGCTGGTTTTCTTGATGTAATTCATCTCCATGCTAGTCAACTTAATGTTTTTATTGCTTAAATCTAATATTAATGATGTGTTGTATTGACAGAACTACTTTGGTTGTTTCTTTGCCTTGCCCATAGTATTCTCATCCATGAGATGGGATATTGTTGCTGGCAGAAAGACTATGGTATGTAACCGGCATTATTTTTCTATTCCTGAACATAGTATCCTTGATGTTGCATCTTTATTGTTTGCATTTCATTTTCTTACTACCTTATTGTAGGTTGCAACTGCTACACTGTTGCTCGTCTTGGCTGGCCCTATAAAAGCAATAACTTATCTGGTCAGCGAATGTTTCTCTTGCACTTGACATATCTCTCACTTTAATTGTTACTATATATGGTTAAAGTTTTGGCTTATTTCTTGCTTCCCATTTTGAATTGTGCTAAATCTGAAATGACTTTCACCACCTCATTTGAAGAATTTAGATGATTTAGGTGTTAACCCTATTGAGATGAAAGACGCAATTTCATGTTTGACTTCTCATAATGGTATGACAATCATGTCTGCCTTTGGAAATTTGTTAAGCCAGGATAGTGCATATATATTCGAGAAGGGAGAAATAACAGGGGTATTATGGTATTTTCTTCTTGGGCAGGAAAAATAGTGAAAATAGGTGGGAAGGGCGCTGGAGTATAAAACAGAGTCTGTGTGGTGAAGTAGGGTATTCATTGATCCTTTATTGTTCGATAACAATTCCATTGGAGAGAAATCGACCTCTCAAAAGTCGATCCTTTGAAGAAATCCAATAATCCAACCATTTGGTGTGAATTGCAAATTGTCTTTTAGTTATCTGTAACAAAATTAAATCTGCCAATAGATGATGTTCGAATCACCAAATTGTTGTGGCTTTATATTGTGATCCTATATACTTTATATTTAAACACTCCATTCAGAAGTCAAGTTAAACTTCGAATTTGGAATACACAAGACATCCTTAAGAATAAAATCACCGTTCAGTTGAACATCACAAGCAATTTTACCAAAATCCGAGAATGATTTGGTAATGCCAATTGTTGCATGCTAGATGGAGTGCATGGAATCGAATATATTTGCTTGTGGGCGTACATGTTGAGTTGCTCCTGAATCAACAATCCAGTGTAGTTTTGAAGAAAACAAAGGATATAAGTGCATAGAGAGACAAGTACCTGGACCCACACTTGATTGAGAAGAATCTGCATCATTGTCCGAGTTACTTACTGGATCTCAAGATCTGTGTTTGAGTGAAAACAAGAAACACCAGAGCTGTGTGGAGAAGAAGTATTATGAAAGCATGATCTGTTTTTCACACATACTTATATTTACATTATCCTTTATATAGCCACCAATAACTAAGATGTGATTGTTTATATTAATTATGAAATTCATCTGTCTCTTTTCCGGTCTCTGCTTTGTTGCTGCATATGCACTGAAATACAATCATCTTTCTTGCGTCTCAGCTAATGCATGGTTTTCTTGGTCTCACCATGGGCTCTTTGTGGAGGTATGCAATTGGGTCATGTTATGTCTATTCCTTGTTATATTTTTTCATTACTTGTCTAAGGTTTGACCTTCTAATTGTTCCGACATCTCCCCTATTCTTTTTCTTGCATTTCATTTCTTTTGCTTTTGAGTTAATTTGGAACTCGTTATCTAATCAAAGCTTGAAAGATGGTAGGCTAAATTTTAGGATCTGTGGCTATTACAAAACGATGTTTTGCCAACCTTAACATAAAATACAAGAAATATTTTATGAACTGTCACGGAGGAAGATACACCCATGGTCCGTTGGGTCTGGTAATTGCTCAGGATATTTTGAAATATTTAGGTTATTTATCATGTTGAAGTGAAGTTATATTCACCCTTCCAATTTAAACTAATATATATATATATATATAACTATATACTCACACAAAAACACACATACATACATACATAATACATCTCGCCCTCGACCCTACCCCAAGGTGGGATATACTGTGCTCTTTTGATTTGGTTTATATATTATAGATATATGGAGTATATTAAGCATTTTGTCTAGTTCACATAAATTTCTGGGGCTCTTTCAGTTGGAAAATAGTACTGGCTTGCCCTTGGTTGTCTTGTATAAGCTATTGCTTATAATCTTATAAGTTGCTTTTTGAAGTAATATTCATATCTTATGAAGATCATATACAGAAAATGTTTTTAAGGTAATGGCCTTTACCCTGTTTAATCGGTGTAGACTGAAAGCGATATCCATCTGAAATTAAAGAAAAAGGCCAGGCTTTGATTTTTGAGAGAAAATACACCAAGGAGTAGTGCTAATAAAATTCTTCTTCAGTCTACTGAGTGAACTTTGAAATTTTAGTTGAACTTCGGGGTTTCTTTTCATTAGCTTATAGCAAACAATATTATAGTGTAATTGAGAACTTGGTTATGCCTTCTGTTATCGTCCCTGTGTATTCTCTCTTCCGTTGATTGATTCGAAGCCGCTTTTTGTTACCAATTACCACTCAGGTTAAAAGCGAGTTGGGGTGTTTCCGTATTTGTGAGTGCAATTGTAAGGCTTGCTCTCTTTCTTAGATTCTTCACATTTGAAACCACTTTTTTTCATCTTTTAAGGATCACGCTTCAGTGATATGTATCTTAAAATTATGCAGGTTCGAGCTGCGGGTGCAATGGGATATGTCGTAATGTACTCTTTCTTAATCAGGGAGAACATTCTTGCTTTGGTAACTTTACATCCTTCATATCTTAGATTCCATTGGTACCCCTGAAAAACACCATTTCTGATATTTATTTGAATTGAGCATGCTTTTCTTGTAGATCACTATAAACATTCATGCCTCAGCCACATTTATCCTCTCATCATTAGGCTTTTTGGCAATTCCTTCGATGGATGTAATATATGCCATTTTTGGGACCTTGGTTCGTCTTATTACTCTCTAAATTATCTATTACTTTATTTTTAGAAAAAAATAAGATACAGACATTTGAGATCAGACCGACTACACTTCAACTTCAAACCGATGTGGATTTTCCAATTATCTTTATGAAACGGGTTAATTTTCATTTAGACCATAATGGTCACCAATAAAAGGAAATGGCTGTGTTGAACTTTTTACAAATCCATATGGAACTTTAGTATGAAAAGTCATGACTCTGACCTCAAAAGTCAAAATCTGCCTCTTTTCCTGTAACCAAGGAATGAATTGTCTTTTCTAATCTGGTCCTTCCTTGCAGCTTTTACTTAATTGCTGTTTCTTTGTGTTCCTGCTACATCTTCTATATGCTCTTTTCTTTACAAGGCTTGGAATGAAGGCTTCCCTGAGATTGCCAAAATGGTTTGCTAAAGCCATATGACAGATTAGGCACCCATCATTGTTTCTTATTCAATTTTATATGTACTTCCATGAAGAACTAAATCATCTTTCTATGTTATTGATATTTCTATTATTAAAATAGCAGCCAATACTTTAGCGACTGGGAAAGTATAGGTCACATGATGTACATGCATATGCTTAAATTTATGTATTTTGATACTCGCGTATTTGGAGAGAGTGATGTAAATGGAACTTATTGGAGAAGCATCTGTAATACCACTGTGTTCAGATCAATGATGTGCAACTCTTGGGAACTCCCAATGAGTTGTGCCATGATACGTGGGCCGCGAGCTGATTACGAATCTTGAGCAGGGTAATCAAGTTGTGTTCCTTCAAAATCTCTGAGTAAGGAAAGGTTGGGTGCAGGCTGCTACCACGCTGGGTTTTAGAGGTATGATTTCAAGAGCATATTAGCTTCCAGATTCTAATTTATACAAGTCAAAGTAGAAACACTTGAAAATAGCAAGTTCCAATGTTGCCTTGGGTAATATTATTGGATACTCGTTAGTCGTTAATGCTTTTTCTCAGAGTGACATGAGAACCTATATCTGGAAAGATGAATTTTTGCTGTCCATCTATTGATGCATGATGCAAAATAGTCACAGCATGTGCGCCACAGTATGCTCCTTCCCAGTCACCTTTGCCTATCTTTCTGTTCCATTTATGTTTACCACATAATGTCCACTTGACTGCAAACTGGTTATGCTCTTCTACATCGATGACATATTTGCATTCTGTGATAAAGGAATACTAGATGGCAACTTAGCCAGAACTAAAATGATTGTATCGATTATGAATAAATGACTATCTCCCAAGGAGATAATTAATTATTGTTGCGCTTACCTCATCGTGAAGCTAGAAGACCACTTCTGCATTTTGAGAGGAACAATGCGTAGACAGACACCTACTATTTACTTACCTTTGCCCTTGAAATTAATGACATTTTTGAGTTTGGTATGTCATTTGCCCATAAGGAACTTTTCAGCTTTTCCAGTTTGTTCATGACTTCCTTTTGAGTCATGTAATGCGTATGGAGGTTGCTAGTCATCAAGATGAGCGGGGCAATCCCCAACAAAAAGTGACTTTTTTCTTCCCATCATGTGCATCCCATGCCTTGTCTTCTAGTGGGTCTACCCGAATCACCAAATTCAAAGTAAAATATATCTTGTTGGCCATTTGTCAAATTTTAACGTGGACCATCGATTTCACCCTTGTCTTTATCAATATTTCTTTTATTTTATCACTGATTTCAGCCTCTAATTATCAAGTTACAGATTGCAATGCTGATATCTGCAGATTCTGTGACATGGGTAATTTTCAAAAGGGCATGGATTTGGTTTAGCATGGTTTTTATTTCAATAGCCTCTACACTTTTTTGATGTCTTCCTCTTGCAAATATATTTATATCAGCTATTTTAGTGGATGCTCAAGGGGAAATGCTAGAAAACATAGAGATTCAGGTGCCTCTCTGGGTTTTAGTTTGAACCAATAAACCATTAAGTTAGATCAAATTGGATTAAATCTAAGTGGTTGGTTTGGTTATCATGGTTTGATCCAGTTCAAAAAAGGTTTGGTTGGGTTTTAGATTTTGAAACTAAAAGATTCTGTGAAAATTTTCTATTGCTTTTACTCTAGTTTTAAAGAATCTACTTTCTTTATCATGTTACATATAATTGTTAAATGTGGTTTTCATTGTGGACTTCTACGTAATGTCTATTGCAAACTGAAACATTCTTATAGAAACGTCATTGCTAGTACATGTAAAAAGGCTTTCTGAGACATCACAGTTTGTTCTACTGTTATTATTACGGATGTGAATTTTATCCAAATCTTGGTGAACCAGTCGCCGTATATCCATTCTCTATGCTCCTTTGTCTTCAAGCAAGTTATTGACATTTCTTTCATTCTAACAGGTGCCTTTTGGTATGATTCAGGGAATCCTACTCATAGGAATGCTTCAGAGTCGAGATGAAACTGTTCGTGGGAGCTGCCTATATAGAGGTAAACAAGTTAAGATTGCAATTGATTGGAAACTATTTAGGACATTTAGAGTGGGCAGCCCCCTAGAAGCTTATTGAATAAGCCACTTTCTATATCATTAAGCGACTACCAAACAATCATGTATAGCTGACCGAATAAGCTGCGAGTCTCATTAAGCTGCTAACTACAGGCCCTTAGATTCTGTACTTTCTTACCTGTGTTTCAACTACAAACTAGAGTACGAACTAGCAATGACGCATATGCTAAAACGGGAACTTCGGCATTTGTTTATCTTCAGTTGTCAAAATTAAAAACCAAAAAGAGTTTGTATTTCCCAAATATTTCCAAAACTTGTGTCCATCAAGTATCTCATTGGTGTCATTTTGTGGATTTTATGAAAATTGGTTAGTTGATGTTATTTGGTTTCATCCTTGATGAATCTATGTTAAAAGATAACTCTTCGAGCATGGTCATAATTTGTTCTGATGGTATACTACTCACTACCCCATAGGTGTTGGAATCAATCCACTGTCTCGTTGCCAATTAGAGTAGAGCCAAAGGTAGTCTCACTTGGAAAGTGCTTCACTAATATGAATCTTTTTCTGATTTGTCTCCTCAGCCTTCATCAAAATTGGATCTACTCTACACATCAAAGGTAGATTTTGAAAATCAGTTGTAATATTTAACATCCGAGGGAAGTTCCGTTGGTAACCAAAAGTGATTAGGAACCCGGGAACCACCACCCTCAGCGCGCCAACGTCCGTCTTCGGGATGAATATTCATAATGAATAACACATTCATGATGAATATGAATGTGCTGTGGACGTGTTATGCATCATGAATATGTTACAACATTCATGATGAATAACGCGTCCATATTCCTGATGAATGTGCCATGTGTCGTGCTGTTGGCGGTTCCTGGGTTCCTTATCAATTTTAAGTTCCTAACTGAACCTGCCCCTTAACATCCTATTCTTCTTTTCTTCTTTACTAGATGTGCTTTCGGTGTTATTCTCCTGGAACATGCGTTGCGTTAGCTTCCACAAGCTTGAAGGGCTTACCTCGTGTTGTTTATTGAAGCAAAGTCCGACTTGGAATTGAAGTCTTTATGGCCAATAATTCGTTCAAAATTGAAGGTTAGACTCAAATCTTGCTACATAATTTTTGTCATGAATGCAAGTAGTTAGCCCACTCGAGCATCGGCTCTTTGACTTAGTCAACAATCGACATTGACCAGCACAAAGACCTTCACTTTTGTCCAACCAATGCCATGCGTTCGATTCTCTGCTTGTTGGTCCATCTACCATTGTCGATTATAATCAGTTATATGTAATGTTATTGTTGGTTTAATGTGATTCATAATTAACAAATATCACATGCGATATTGTGAACAATTTACACTTGTTTATTTACCATAATTTACTATCAACAATACGCATTGTGATGTTTGTTTTGGTAGTGGGCCAATGTTTGTGGTTATAGAGGTGGTCAATGGTCTTTAGTGGCCGCCATCAGGGTGGTGGCAGCGGCAGTGGACAGTAGTGACCATTAAACAAATAGTATATTAAGGATATGTCAGATAAAGGTAGATGGATAATTTTTTTTAGTTGTCTCATTCTTATCTTGTTCGACCTATTTTGTTGTCCAATTCCTATCCCATGTTGCATCAAACATGGAACCGTGAGTTTTTGTGGTGTCAAACATTGGACAAAGAAGGCATTAGAAATGAAGCCATAGGGATGTCGTTTGTTAAAAATTCTTTTCAGAGATCTTACTCGTTAATCAATGTATGAATAATACCTTTCCTCCTTGAAAGAACTCGAGAGCATAACGTGAGTGGTAGAGATGCACAAGGGTCTAAAGATTACCGGTCCTTAACCAGTCGTTGGCCTAAAATTTAGGACCAAATCCATCCTGATGCTGCTCTTAAATGGGTCATCGGCTCCATTTATGTTGTATGTTGGGTTAAAGTCGAGTCACACTAAAAACAGAAGATATATCTTTAAAATATTTTACGAATTTTTCTTGCATTAATTTCACTATTAATAACTACAATTATTCTTTTGATTATTTATAATATTTAGTCATAATAAATAGAGAAAATTACTCCTCTGGTTCTCGTGGTTGCCACTCAATATCAACTCTAGTCCCTATTTTGAAGTTATTACAGTATTAATCATTATGTTTGTCAAACGTAGACAACGCCTTTTGTTCTTTTTTCGCATTTGTTATTTTGGTACAAATACTTTTGGTTCTCCCCATAAAAGTGAAGGGATTTTCCGGTTTTTATTCATATTGTGATCAAAAACTTTATTTTAAAACTAGTAACAGGCTATCAAAACGAATATTGTTTCACTTTTTGTACCCCAAATTAACTTATGTTAAAAAGTCCATTAGCTTAATTAGGGCATTTGGTCCTTTTTTTAATCATTTCTTAAGAGTAAATTGTATGTTTGGTGATTGTGGTTTATATGTTATGATGTCTCAAATCCATTTTTTGAAATAATTATGGATTATAGCATTGTGATTTACAATTTATAATGTTTTTGGACCCTTATCTAAACCTCTCTAAAGGAAGCTCAAGATTGAGGTAAAAAAAATCTAGATTTAGCATAAATCTAGCAAAGCGAGTTTAAATTGCTTTGTGAAAACTTTGTACATGCTAAAAATGTCCGTTTGAAATATTAGTATGTTCTACTTGATATTTATCGAATATGTGGGTTATTTGGTGAGTTTTACATATTTGGTACATTTGGTTAATAAATTCTTGAAAATGCTTTTATTCGGGATATTTGAGTATTTTCACAAGTAAATCATAAGTGTGAGTTCTTTTGATGATTTATTTTGTAAATATAGATTATTTGGTGATAGATGCATTTTTAGTCGATAGAAATGACTCGAAGAGATTGATTTATTTATATTGGCTAAATATGTTTCTTGGCTGGCAGTCTTTTACTAATACATTATTGCTAGATTTAGCAAAGGTTGTCACGACAATAACAACGCTTCTTCGTACAATGTTGTTCCTTAATCTCACATGGACACTCTATCTTATGTGATTTTGAAAAAAATTGATAGTGCTTTTATTTTTGAATAAAATATCAATTTAAGGATATAATAAAATTTTGACAAAAATATATCGATATTAGTATCAAGTTAACTATTTAAAATTCATATTT